ACGTTAACGTAATATAATAATAAGTAGTTAGTTAGTAGTCGGTACGTACCTACGTACTACTACTATATATATATATATATATATATATATATATATATATATATATATATAGGGAAAAGCTGAGGTTTGCCCACTGGCTAACGCTATAGTGTTAGCCCAACAGCTCAAATTGAATCTAGGCTAATCTAATGGTCACGATTGCATTTCGTATTTGAATTTTAATTTCCTTTCTACAAATCCAAGTCACTTAAAATTTTGAGCGTCCATTCTTTTTATCAAGGTGCACCTAATAAAAATATTTTAAAAAATAATTCGTAAAATATAAATTGATCAAAATACCCCTGAAAAGTGGATATTTGAGAGACTCAATAAGGTCTTTTCAACTAAATTTTCTAATGCTTTTCCATGTGCCCAAAATCACAAGCTTTTGAATTCGACCAATTTTCTAGGTTTTTTTTTTTCCCTTTAATCAATCATAGAATTTTTTGATTGTTCTATGCAAGAAATATGAAGAGCGCTTAAATCTACTTATGGGTTTCATTTAATATTAGGAAATTTATCAAAATGCACTTAACAGATGAACTATTTAACATGACACCCACTTTTATTTATTTAATTTCAAAAAACCCTATAAATACACATCATTAGTTGTAATAGTTGAAAATATGTAAAACGTTAAACGGTTGACAACTTATGTGCATTTTGATAAATTTGCGATTTTATTTTACATCAAGATAGGCATGACATTTTGTTGACATCACCTAAGGAATAATGTTTTTAATTTGGTCCTTTATTTGGTTTTTTTCGATATTAGTTGTTTTTGTTTTGAACAATGGAGGCTATTTTAGTTAACCTTTATTAAAAAAAAAACAATGGAGGCTATTTTCCTAATTGAGCAATTGATTGAGAAATTTGAGGAGTAGAGAAAAGATCTCCATATAGTCATTATTGATTTAGAGAAAGCATATGATAGGGTACCTAGAGATATAATTTGGTGGAAAAGAAAGGAGTCTCAAGAGGATATATTGACATGGTTAGGTATATGTAAGAGGGCGAGCTAACTAAGGTGAGGACAACTAGTGGATAGAAGTGAGTCTTCAATGACAGTAGACCTACATCAGGGGTTAATATTGAGCCCATATCTCTTTGCTTTGATTATGTACATGTTAACTAAGCATATACGGATGAGGTCCCATGGTGTATTTTCTTTGCGGATGACAGTTTTTGATTGATGAGACTAGTGATGACATAAACGTAAAGATAGAATTCTAGAGGGATGTTTTAGAATCTGAAGGTTTGAAAATTAGTTGGATTAAGATAGAATATATAGAATGCAAGTATAGTAATAATCGGAGCAGAAATGAGGAATTAGTTAAGATTGATGGCCAACAAGTACTTAAAAGATATTATTTTCGATATCTTGGTTGATAGTCCATGAGAAAGGGGAGGTCGAGGAAGATGTTACTCATAAAGTTAAGAGTTGGGTGGACGAAGTGGAGATGTGCATCTGGAGTCTTATGTGATCGTTGCATATCAATGGAACTGAAGGGAAAGTTGTATAGGACGTGTAATACTAGCCATGTTTTGTGGGACAGAATGTTGGGCAGTCAAGAAACAAAATGAGTATAGCTGAGATAACGATGTAGAGATGGATGAGTGGCAAGAAAAGGAAAGATAGGACTCGGAATGAATACATTTAAGGGACTTTAAGGGTAGCTCCAGTAAGCGATAAAATGAGAGAAAATAGACTTTGGTGGTTTGGCTGCCTGCAGTGTAGATCTAGAACATCACCAATTAGGAGGGATGATTTGGTTCAAGCTCTAAATGGCAAGGGAAGGAACTAAGGTATGGCCCTTGATAGAGTGGAATAGCAGAACCGGATTTGTGTAGCCATTTCAAATAGTTGGGATAAGGCTCAAATGATGATTTATTTTTGTTTAATGGTGTAAATATGGTTGCTTCATTCCGATTCTTTTATTGAACATGCAAATTTCAAACAAATAAATATGCATTTCTATGTTCTATGACTTTGCGCTACTTGGTTGGTTCCTTGTTGTATACTACGTTTGGTGTTGAATGTGGTATTATTTGAATATAGAGAGGAATCGGAGAATCCTTGGTATGGTATGACATTCAAAGCATCTTTTACCGTGCATTCCATATCTGATGCATTTTGTGGAATATGGTCCCACCAATGGCTGGTGAAAATGAGAAGTGTCATGCCTACTATGATATACAGCTCTTTGGTCTGCAACAACCTTCTGTTCCATAGGAGCCTAGCTGTATGAAAATCTCTCTCTCTCTCTCTCTCACACACACACAAACACGGATAATTTCAACCCCGGATGCATGTTTTTACATTGATCCGGTTCTGTGTTCATTAACAATTCCAGGAAAAGAGGGTGAGGGAGATTGTGCTGAAGGCCATGGGACAAGCAATTAGCAAAACTGTGGCCATTGCTGAGATTATAAAGGTGACATACAAATATACAATCATTTTAGTTTCCTCTTTTTTACATATTCCATATGCTCCTTTTTTTTTTTGATAAAAGTATATTCCATATGCTCCTTATTGTCATATCCTCTTTGAAAACAGAAAAGGATGCCTGGATTGCATCAAGAAACCTCCATCAGCTCCACAAGCATTACAGATGTTTGGGAGCCCATCGAAGAAGGCCTTGTACCGTATGTTGCTTCTTTCTTACTCTTATTTCCTCCCATGTATGCTCTTTCATTGATCTGAATGAGCCCATTCTTAAAAGGCTTATTAAAACTGAGAAATTTTTTGCAGCTTGGAGATGACCCGGCATGTCTCTATGATCTCCATCTCTCTCTCTACCAAAGAGCTTAACAAGAACTCGCCAGGGTAACAGAAAAACCTCAAATTGGACACTATGTGTGATGCTATCCATTATTCATGGTGAATAATGATTTTATTTCTCACATTAATTGTGTCATGTATAGGTATCAAGCTCCAGCCTCCCTTGAGCAGCATCCACCCCAGCAACAACAAAAGGTGAATCAGATTCCTGTCTCACGTGGGAATGCAGGTAAGCCTCAGTGATAAATGTTCCTATCATTCTTGATAAAATAGGAGTTTATACTGTTATGCTTAGTAAGGAGCTTCTACCATCAATAGAACATCAGATACTCGAGATAGAACCATAGGGTACAATCTAAGCAGTGCGACTTAGGAAAGAAAAGTAAAGACCAATTATTTGGCTTGTCTAGAGAAGATATGGACCCCTAAGTTGCGAATTTTGCAATTTAATGAATGTGGAAGATGATAATTGACTTCTGCTTTTGAGTGGCATTTTTGTTGTTTCCCCTATGAGATGATGGAAACTGTATCTGCCTTAAAATGTTTTGCAACAACTAGGGAGGGCTATTCCTTCAAATAAATGGGAAATGCATTTCTAATGTTCTCTGTTGGAGGCCTGCAGGTTAGCAAATTTATTTGAATATGTGTGCGTGTAGATGGGTGCATTGGTAGATGAAGCCATTGATAAACAGAGATGAGATTTGTTGAATTTCTGGGGCATGATATAGTTAAAGGATACATAAATTTGCATTCAGCAAAAATTCTCATGCGGGTTGTTTCAACTCGCTCAAATTGGTCAACAGATGCCCTTGTCTCATTTGATACTTTACAATCTACCCCAAGCAAATGATCCCCTTGATTTCAAATATATTACTTTTTCAGAGGGACAAACGATTAGTCATCTAAAAATGTTGAGCGGAAATGAGAAAATTCACTTATGGATTTTTCTTTGGAGAGACCTTTCTATAAGATGGTGTATTTTAGCGGCCTATATTGCTTGGCCCTCATTTTTACTATTTGACCTGTTTCATTTGCTTCTTCTTTTTTTGTGTGTGTTGGTTATGCTACAGAGTCATATGGCCAAGGAGATTTATATGGACGGGGGCGAGGACGAGGTCGTGGCAGGGGAAGAGGCAGGGGTTGGGGTAGAGGTTATAACAATCAAGGGTATGACAACCAAGGGTACAACAATCAAGGTTATAACCAAGGATACGGTAACAATCAAGTATATAACAATCAGGGTTATAACAACCAAGGATATCAAGGTTTGTAAAATCACTCCCATGTTTCTTTTTGGTCTTGCACCTTTAGGAAATATGAAGATTAGTGAAGCAGCTCTATGAAAACGTTGCAAGGTTTCAAGAAATTTTCCTTGATATCACAAGATTTGTTATTCTATGTATGTAAAAGTAAATTTATTTGAATCTAATTATCAGTTCAGTCTCAGTACATATGTGTATCATTTAAAGAGTTATGTTAGGGTACTCATACAAATGAGTATTTCTTTAATGTACTCAACATTTTTGAACACTTATTGTCCCTTGTTTTGCAATATAGAATTTTTTGAGTAAGGGCATTCTTCGTCATTAGGAAGGGTTGGATAAATATTTGTATTTCCATAAGAAACTAGTGGCATTTTATTAGTGGTTAAGAATGAATCATTGCTATGGATGATGTCATTCTCTACTGTAGTTAGTAATGCTTATTTTTCTATCAAGAAATTTTACTTTACCCTTGATTAATAACCTAATATTCCCTAGACAAAAAAGTTACTATATAGTGGGATAACGTTATTAAGTGTGTCCAAAACTGTTGAGTACCTTAAGCAAATACTTATATATGTATGAGTACCATAACATGATCCTTATTTAAATTACAAGAACAATTTAATTTCATGGGAACGAAATTTACAAGATATTGGAATAAAATACTCACCGTACAGAAATAAATCTAGTTTTACATGTGAAGTGGACGTCTTAAACTGTTATATTTTTCCTTCTTTGCAATCTCTTTCCTTTGCTAATGTCCTCGAATAAAATTCTTGAAAACCTTCACAAAGAGTTCCTTATCTGGGATTTTAAAAAATCGAAATGCATTGCTATTTGTGGAGCTTTGCTGTGTTTGCCTTGTTAGGATCTTGTGTTACAATTGTCATAACTGTAAATAAAGATCAGAAGATTGAACTTATTGCAATCATTCAATGTTGTGGCAGAAAATGGAGGGTGGAACAACAATTATAATTGGAACCGAGGAGGTGGTCGAGGAAGAGGGTGGGGCAATCGTGGTGGTAAGTTTGATTGAAACCGCTATGGTTTTCAATTATTTACCATGTTTGACATGATTTCTGTGAGTTTTGTTTTTACTTTTTGGTTCTTTCCACATTTTATCATTGGAAGTTACCAAAAGTTTGATCCTTTTCCTAGAGTTAGCTATCTACCCTCAGGTAGTAGTATTTTGTCCAATACAATATTGTTTTTCTTTAGTCCAATGTTGTTAAATTTGCTTGGGAAATCTCTTTTGTTTTGGCTGGGGAAGACATACTGCGCCTCAATGACCAACTTCGGGGGGAAGACAATGGGCTTTTAAATTATCATCATCATCATCCAAGTCTGATCCCAACGATTTGTTGTCGACTACCATGGGCTTTTATATAAATAACACAAAGGTTTCAAAGAAAACATGTAACTAGGTATTTTAATGGTTCTAATTTTTTGCTATAATATCTCCAATACTTTTAAAACATCTGCAATATGTTCACAGCATTCCAGTGTTTATATAATACCATCAGTATTTGGAAAATATTCATGTGGGATTCATTTCACCTCAGCTGAAGACTGAATGGATGCTGACAATGATTTCGTCCATTTTTAAGTTTCTTTTGAAACTCTGAAATAGTATAAACTTAGTTGCATTTCTTCAAATATTTGGTGATATTATATCTTATCTTGTATGATATAGGGAGAGGAGGATATGATCTTTTGAAACTCTGAAATAAGATAAACTTAGTTGCATTTCTTAAAATATTTGTTGATTAAATTTCGTATCTTGTATGATATAGGCAGAGGAGGATATGAGAGAGGTAGGGGAGGAGGAAGGGGCTATGGTCGAGGGCGTGGAAGGGCGGGCGGGAGGGGCAGAGGAGATTGAGGTCTCTCTCACTCTCTCTCAGCTCTAGGGTGCGGTTTCTCCCTTCTTTTGGAATGTGGCTCTCTTTTGGAATGTGGCTTTGCGCTGGATTAGGCTTGCTTGGTTTCTATGGTGAGAATTATTGCGACCGTCTTTGAGCATAACTGTGGTTTCTGCATTAGAGTTGCATTGTTTATGGTTCTCTATGTTTATGACAGAATGGAGGCAGGCTTTACTTTCATTATGGTTGGGAGATATGGCCTTTGTATTATTTCCCTCCTTTCATACACCTATCAATGTATTCATATCCATTTTCCATATGGAGTGATTTGGATTTTGGGTTTGATTAATTTGGGTTTAGCAGGGCTCATTGCGAAGGACTCATCTTTGTTTTATTAACTTCATTTTTTCTCAGTATATTTACTTGCAATCAAAGCATATATGTTATAAGGGGTTTTCTCAGTATATTTACTTGCAATCAAAGCATTTGTCATAAGGTGTTTAAGCCCACGGTAGGAGGGCACTTTGATTTTGTGACCTTTAGGGTTTGTACATGCACAAAATGCGTTCAAGGGTTTGAGTGAAAAGAAAAGAAGAGGGTATACCTCATATTTTTGAATTGTGAAGCTATTAGTGGTCTACTCCTGAAAGTTTTCGGTTGTTGCAGCCTTTGATTCCTCACTGTACACAAAAACAATAAACAGCATTTAAAACATTTCTGGAGTTGAGAGCATTGGTCCATGTGACCAGCCAAGAATGGCGTTAAAAGTTGCAATTGATTGGTCCATGATTCAATGGACCTACAGGGGCATCAAATTAATCTTCATGGCATGCTTGATAAATGAGAATTGTGTATTCAAAATTAAATTAAAAAATATGAGTAAAGTGTTAAATTATCAATCTTTCTTGGACGATTTGACGATTATTTTTTTGACAAGGGTTCCCAGCTTTATTAATAAGAATTACTCAAAAGGAAATTACATTAGTGGACGCTAACAGAGAACAATGGTGGACACTAACAGAGATGGCAAAAAAAAACCCCGCAGTTGGCAAGGGAGTCATCGACAGAATTACTCAAAAGGAAATTACATTAGTGGATACCAACAAAAATGGCAAAAAAAATCTGCAGTTGGCAAGGGAGTCACGGACATCATTGGCTTCACGATAAATATAAGGGAGTCACGGACATCATTGGCTTCACGATAAATATAAGGGAGTCACGGACATCAATGGCTTCACGATAAATATAGAGATAGCAAAAAAAACATCATTGGCTTCACGATAAACATGAGAGAAAGAAACAAAGAGTCACCAACATCATTGGCTTCACGATAAATATGAGAGAAGATAAACATGAGAGAATGAAACATAACTTCACGATAAATATGAGAGAATATGAGAGAACATAAACATGGCTTCACGAGAGAAGATAAACATGAGAAAAAGAAACATAGCTTCACGATAAATATGAGAGAATATAAGAGAACATAAACATGAGAGAAGAGAGAAGGAAACATGGCTTCACGATAAATATGAGAGAATATGAGAGAAGATAAACATGAGAGAAAGAACAGTTAATATGAGAGAGGGAAGAAACAATCATTGGAGAGAAGGAAAT